ATTGTAGTACAAGCATGCTATCTCCATAACTTCGCAGAGATCAGTACGATCTCGCGAATAACGAAACCCTTGGAGACACGTTCAAATATCAATGGACAATCACTGACAGAGAGACAGAATTATCAGTTTGTATAACACACTTGCACATACTTTCCCCGGTGTATCCGTCATATTTTTAAAAAAGGAGTTTAAGAAAACCCCGACGGCAACGGCAACGTCAGTGGTTAAAAGACATCTGAAGTGCAACGGGGAAAGCGGAGAAATCGGGGGCAAAACTTGCAGTAAATGAGAACTGCAGTAAAGGAATATCAAATTACCCTAAAACAAGTATACCTGACGACAGAATTGTAAGTGGTGTCCCCGCTGAACCCTGTGTATTCATCACACTCAGAGAATGTATGTAATCTGAGTGCAAAATGAATGTAACTTTACTCGGTTTTCATTCTTTGAAAATTTGTCCAAGATCAATTTTCTTCTTTACTTTCGTAACCTTGTTAATTTTTTCTGTCAGCCATTTCTAGAGTCCTTAACTCAGAGAGCAGGCCTTCCTTTTTAGCTCTCCGCACCGGATACTTACACCAGAAGCGATATAAATTATGTATGTACATAGCCAGTGCTCCTCCTGGAAGGCAGCTTGCACAGGCTGCTGTTACTTCAGGCCGTGCAATTGCTGCGACAACTGGAAAAGGTAATACAGTTTAAATCATTAAATGTGGATACATAAATGATTCAGGAATAAGAGCTAATGAATTAAAATCAAAATATCCCTGACTTTTAAAATTCGCTTCTGGACGTGTGTGTAGTTTATTCTCGTGTGCATCATCGTTGTCGTCATCATTATCATAATCGTCGTCGTTGTCATTAGGAAGCTCTATTTATAAAGAAAGCGCTGGCCAAGACGACGCTTAGTAAAAAAAATATTAAATTTCACCTTTAAATTTTGCAACTACCTAAATCCGTTTAATACTTCTATCGTTCAAAAAATTTGATAAAAATTTGTCATGATAGCTTTAAACTTCACTGAACGGGAGATAAGAAAAAATCAGCTGTCGTAGTACAGGTTCTCCAATCCATGCAGAACTTGGGTGTTCCACGTTGTTGTTTTGTTGTACGGCCCTACATTATTCGTTGCCATTGTGGTTTGCTCAAGTCCCATATTGTCGTTTTACGTTTCTCTTATAGAGGAGAACTGGGCTACTGGATATAAATCCTCGGATATAAGCTCTCCAGTTGCCAGTAGGCTTTCCTGAAACGTTAAGAGAGGCACACATTCTCTTTTTCATATCCAAGTGAAAATGACGGGTGGTAGGGTCTGGGGCCTTTTGATTATAGTGCTGGACTCCGGATACTGCCATCCATTTCGGGCTCAATATTCTGGCTGCATCACTGTGTTGTATCTCTCCCCGAGACTCTTTATCCAGGAAATATATTGTAACCCTGCGATGGACTAGAATTACATCCGGGGAGGGAAGGAGAGCACAAATATTACTAGCTGGTTCATGCTAGTGGAACCGTAGATTACTTCCGGTATGATTGGCCACTAGGCTCTAACGTAAACACTTCTGCTTGAAGATGTTGGACATTTACAGCTAGTCAGTATGGCTTCGAGCAATGAACTCATTCCTATGAAGTCAAGATACACGCGCACATAGCTTATAACACAAATGGCTACAATTAGCCTAAAGTATAAAAGTCAATTCAGGGATACAATGGAAAAGATCAAAAATACGGTAGCTATTACTTACCTGCGACAACAGCGGTGAAAGCGCCAATGATGCAAATTCCCCCTCCAATGACAGTAAGCACGCCAACACTACTCAAATAGTTATTGATGTCTGAAGCAAACATATTCTGTACCCTGCCTACCTGGCTCAGGTAGTCAGCGCATATCTTTAAGGTTTCTTCAAGATCCAATATATCCCTTTCAAAGTCAATCTTTTCGCTTTCGGAGATTTTGTATCCTTTATTTCCGGCTTCTTGGATCTGTATGAAAGTGAATAAAAGCATACAGCTAAAACAGTGTTAGAGGAGCGTAATTTAATAATTCTCATATACATCTTGATGAAGGAGGACTTCTTAAATTCATTTCGAATTGGTACCGCGTCCGCTGTCCGCCAGGACGAGACTTGTGTCCCGATAAGTAAGCGAAATTGGGACGCGCAGTCACACCAGTGCCTTATAAATACGCTTTTTTGATCGTGACGTTTGACTAGCGTAACGAAGACACAATCAGTACATTATCCATATGCAATGGTAGAACATCTTTAGATTCAAACAATTCGTGTAACCGTGCAAAAAGGTAACTGTGTGTGTAATTATATTGGACGATAAAATCGATAAGCTTTCTGTTCGTTCGAAGCCATTAGCATTTATTCAGCGTTAAGGTCGGATTGTGAATTAAAAATACGAACAAACGGTTAGTGATATCATTTAATTAATCATATCACAGATCTTCTCAGGCTAAAAACACACACCCTTTTGTTTATCTTTTGTATCAGACTCTCAATTATCCTGCTTCGCGCTTCGATCTTTTTCCAGTAGCCTTTGATATCCTTCACTTTAGGTTGCATTGAAGCCGGAATGTTTGATTCCTCTTCCTTGATTTGACGGGACGTCATTGAAACGGCAGCAGCACCGTTACTCACGTACTCGTAGTTGCTAAATAGAATCTTCTCGCAGAAACCTTTTACAGCCAGAACATCCTGACAACTTTGAGAAGGCTGTTCAGCAATGAGGGCGTCGATAGCTTCTAAATGTTGTTTAATGCCGTTTAAGGTACTCAGGTGCTTTTCAACTTCTTCGGTCTGTTCGATAGCGTCTTCCCTAAACTTCCTTATAGAGCCACCGTTTATGTAATGTTCCCATCGGACGTCCATGCTTATGGTCACGCCTGCACCAAAGACAACAAGAAAACATATTAGAGTGCTACGTAATAAATGACTGGTCTGCCTGTTGCTGAGCCGGTTCGTAATCGCTTGTTCTCCATTTTCAGGGCTGTGAGGAGAGGCCTCGGGGTCCTCGGGCAGGAGAATGACTGCATGGATATATTAAGGAAGTGAAGTTTTCATTTCAAATACCTCTATCGTATGTAAGTTTAAATCCTTGAGCTTTCCTTGTTAGCCACAATTTCAACGTTGGAAACGAGTGCAATTCCAATGGCTTACGTTTAGCTCAGATCAAGTCACGAAATGATTACCTGCGAATATCGCAGGTCTGAACAGTAAGAAAGCGCCAATATAAAATGTAAACGAATGAAACAACGTTAAGCAAGGGAATCCTTCAATATCATTCATACTGGATATTGACCAAGCTAAAAAGAGTAGTTTGAACTGTACACATGTGATGGACCGTGTAGCACTAGAGAATAACGAAACATTTGTTTTGGCGAAAAATGGTGTTAACTATTTATCTTTGTGAACAAAAAGGATAGTTAAACTTTAAACTCCCGGTTTTAAGCTTCTTTGAGCTTCTTCTTTGAATTGGTGGAATAGGAATACATTAATAAGAGGGTTTAAGGTGTCTCGATAGGGTTTTTTTTTTCTGAACCATACGTAGCATTTTAAATCAGCTTTTTGGCAGTCTTCTCTCAACTAGATCTATGTGCCGAAAATAACTACCAATTATTGGACGAGGTTGAGCAAAATTTCGTGATTTGTCAGACGCTAACAGATCAATTATATTGATATGCGAGACTCTGAGAAATCACGATATTTTGCGGTAAATGAATTCAAAATTGTTTAAGCAGTCGATCACCGAGTTTGTTTTCATATTTAAGCAAGACGCCTAAAGACGATTCCGTGGGATGCTTTGGCTAGTGAGCGTAGCATTGGCATTAGCATTGGCATTGGCATTAGCATTGAGCGTAGCACTGTCAGTTTGTAGTGGAAAATAGGGTAGGCGGAAAATTACACTGTGTGATCAGAGTCTCCTTCCCCGGCTCCTATTTCTTCTTTCCGGGTGATCTACAAGATGGAACAAGAGCGTGCATGGTGTTTAGAAATGGCATCAAAACTGGCTGGAGTAATATATTGCAACGTGGAAAATGGAATTTGTTTTTTTTCTAGTGCGATCATATCACTTAAGTTGACAACTGCCAGAAAATTTGAGACATGAATGGTAACGCAACGTTTTTTAAAACGTTGCGTTTATCCAATCACAATATTTTAGTCTTCAAATAATTAAAATTTTTTGAAGACTAAAATATTGTGACGAGCTGTGTTGCCGTCAATGAACGTAACGAATCTACTAAAACATTAACAGGGTAAAGCACTGATTGTCTGTTATATAATTAGAAGCTCTTTCGCGTGAGAGGAGGACTGAAGTAGGGTAACTATCAAAACATTAAAGAGGAAGTTCACTCAAAAATAGGCACTTTTTTCTTTTCGCCAACGGAAAGCTAGTATAATGATCGGTCACTCACCAAAATTTCGGTCTCCAAAGCGCTTTCAAACCAAAACAACGCCGCCATCTTAGAGTAACTTAGCAGCCAGGCGATGTATGCGTGACGTCAAAGAGCTCAGCGTGAAGTTTGGCGCGAAGTGGGCGGGAAGATTTGAATACACTTGTTGTTTCTGCTTTCTGTTACTTTGTTTCTGCTTGTACTTGTACTTGTACTTGAGGGAGATGCTGTGAAACAATTTGCTGATGTTGGTGCAGAAACAGACTCCATCATAGAAGCTCCTGTCAAAACGTTTGTTAACGTGGGGACACAAACAGAACCCCTAGACGTCTTTATAGACCAGCCAGTTGTTGAATTAGCACCTGAGAGACGACGAAGAAAATATTAATGTGGTCCTAGATCATGCTTACAGCCGCAAACCAGAACAAGATGTTGACCCGCAGAATGCAGTAACAAACGTTGAGCCTGTCTCCTTGGCAGTTGAACACAATTCGGTGCTCTCTGACAAGTCTCATGAGGAATGGCGTGATGACATTGATGACTCGGGCTCAGTCTGCAGCTGTGACATCTCAGATGAAGATTGGAACCCCGAAGAAGATGAAGATTCTGATGGCGAAAGTGCAGATTTCTTTCATTACCCAAGCATCAACTGGCTTGAAGAAAACGAGGAGTCTTGTAACGAGAGCAAGTCAATTGTTTTTGACAGCTGTTTAAAGTGCATATGACACGCATAAAGTGCATATGCTTATTTGAAAGGCCTTTCAAAATACAGAAGAATGGCGTTTTTCTTTTTGAAATAATTTTTTTCGTTTTAGAGATATTAAAGTTTTTCTATTATGCAAATTAGATCAGTTGTTTCAACTTTGCAGGATTTGCGGCGCTATCGTTAAGAATGCTTATCTCAAGCAAAAAGGAAACTTGATTTGTGTAACCACCGTGTGCAAAGCACTGGCCGCACTGAGCGTTGGTTCTCTCAGCCGTTAACAAAAGGGATAGCAGCCGGAAACCTTATTTGTAGCGGTGGAATCCTGTTTACTGGGAATCACTTCATGAAAGTTAGTGTTCTCGTGAGTGCATGCAACATAAGATTTTTGAGAAAGGTGCTTGTTATTATATTCAAAGGAAATACCTCTGGCCAGTGGTGAACAACCATTACATTGTCCAGCAGAGAGAAATTCTTCAGTCATTTAGAGGACAACTTCTAATGCTTGCCGGTGACGGACGATGTGACAGTCCTGGTTACAGTGCCAAGTATGGGACGTACAGCGTGATGGAAGTGACGACAGAAAAGATCGTGGATTTTTCCCTTGTGCAGGTATTTGAAGTTGCCAACTCCAATGCTATGGAGAAGGAGGGGTTGAAAAGGTGCTTTGAATTCTTAGAAAGAGATGGTCAAGAGATCGACTTGCTGGCAACAGACTGGTATTTATCTTTGACTAATGGCAGGTGCCTAACTATAGCTAAAAATGATCCAAAGCGTAGATCTACAAATCAGAAAAGCATGCCGTTAAACAGTCTGAAAATAGCTATTTGTGCAACATTATCCAGATTTAACTCGCGTAAATTGATGAAACCTTCAATATACCACATTTTCTATGGGTTTACCGCCGTAATAACCTACTTAAGATGCTGGGACATCACTCGAAAAGTATATAAATCACGAGCCCACGGCGAGTGATTTACAATCTTTTTGAGTGTTTTTCCAACATCCCAAGTATGTAATTACGCCGGTAAACCCATAGAAATTGCGGTCTATTGCTGTTAGAGATAATGTTTCGAAGATAATTTTACATAACTACATGTATATGTTAACCACACA